GTGAACTAAATTTGAATTTGTTGTGTACTAACTGTGAAAAAATTGGTGAAATAAATTTGAATTTGGTGAACTAGATTTGTATTTGTAAACTGATTGTGAAAAGGGGTGAACAAAATATGTATTTGGTGAACTAATTTTGAAAAATAGGTGAAGAAAATTTGTATTGGGTGAACAAAATTTGTATTGAGTAAACTAATTATGAGAAAAAGGCTATGGTGAAGTTCGGGTCCCGACACTTGGTAGGGGGCGCTATGGCTACATGCCCACAATTAAAAATTGTTTACCATGTGTGTAATGTATTTAAAAAACTTAATAAGTAAAAAGATTGTATTACTCGCTCAAGGATAAAAAGAAAACCTACGCAGGCCTGCATGCTTGAACTACTCCATACTAGTAAATTGTACGTGCTTTGCACGCCATTTAAATATATATAAAAAGCATGGGAAAATACATTTGAATATGTATTATCTTTCCTAGAATCGTGTCGGACAAGATCCAACTTGGTTCTTACCTCTATAGAATCCAAATTGTTCTAGTCTCTTTTTATTAGAGTATCAGATAAGTATGTGAATAGATGCTTCTAGAACACATGAGATGGTTGAGTTGGGAGTTCAATTAGAAGACCACGTGGCAGAATTCTATGAGTTGAAAACTATATCCAACGGATGATAATGCTCGGATTTGCCTTCTCTTGACCGTTGGATGGGCATATCCAACGACCAATATTTGAAGCTATTGGCACACTATATAGTGGTATAGATATTTGACTCTTGGTTATAGATAGTAGAGGACACATAGGACTGAGTTTAAGGCAAGTGTTCGCATCAGGAAAAACGGGTTTACACGTCACAGAATCGTCAGAGCAAGTGTTTGCATCAGGAAAAAACGAGTATGGATCAGCAAAAAAACTCGGGAAATATCAGTTTGGAAACTAAAAGCACAGTACTGAAGCACTGAAACATCTTGCCACCTCGTCACATAATTTAGTGAGTCAACACCATAAATTATAATCTGCTGTTCGACGGGCGACGGACCTGCACCAGCAACACAGAGAAGTAAAAATATCACTATCATAACATGTCACTGTTCAGGCAAGGAACATGTTCAAATAACAAATGGGAGAAATCCACTACTCATCTTTTTAGGGTCTGACGATGATGATTTATCTTGTGTTTCCAGCAGGTACCTGCGAAGGGCGCACATATAGCATAATAATTGATATACTAAACATCAACCAAAGGAGGATTATGCAAAGTTGGGGAAACATACAGAGTCACAGGGCATTCCTTTCTTGTTTCTGTTCAAGAACCTTGAGAGGAAAGGACAACAACTTGATGATTATTATCAGCAAATACCAGCCAAGACAAACAGCGCTATAGCTGACTGTCACAGAGCATTCTGCTTTCTCGAACACATGGAGCAGTTTGATACTTTCCTATCACAAAGCACTCTGGTTTGTCGAACACAGACACTCTTCTTTCCCTAGTGTGTATCTGCAGTGAAAAACTGTATCTGCAGGAAGTAAACAACAGTTGTTGAGAATCAATTCTTAAGAAAAATCATTCTACAGCACCACAAAACTAAAAAGAGACAAGTTGTACCAAAAAATGCAATCATATGATTCATTCATTCACTCACTGGAACAAATTCCTTCCAAAAAAGCAGTAACTACCAGGCAAAATGACTATTAACTCTAGGTAGTTGATTGTATATTTGCCACTACGAGCAATACTGTATACTCCCTCCATCCGGAAATACTTGTCGAAGAAATGGATACAAATGGATGTATCTAGAACTAAAATACATCTAGATACATCCATTCCTGGGACAAGTATTTCCGGACAGAGGGAGTATTTGCCAAAAACAGTATACAGAGGCCGGGGGTCAATCTCCTTTTCAAAAATAAAAATAAATAAATAAATAAATATTTGCCAAAACAGATCCAGGAGGAGGTAATTGTTTCCCATCAAAGAAACATAGACAACAAAAGTGTTTTGACAGTCTTGAAAAAGACTATTAACTCTAGGTAGGAACAGAACAGTGCATCTCCTGCACACTAAAAAACTATACACACTGGCCAAGTGATCAAAAACTAACTTGACAGCAGCGAAAATCACTTCTTGTGGTAAAAAGCACTGTAAATCAGTTCTAGTCACTGACTTTTTTTGGCATGCAGAGTGTGTAAGATGAATGAGTTAACAAAATTACCACATTGTTGGTATTTGGCGGCCATAACGATTCTTCAGAAGCTTCGTCTGTACAGTGAGCGGATCCGCGAAATGAACCTGCTCCGACCAATCGAACGAAAGAGAGAAAGAGGAACAGAAGCGAATCAGGACTGTGGCGAAGAAGGAAGGAACAGAAGGAGAGGAGCTGCCGGCGCCGGACATGGCCAGGTGCATCCCCATCTCCTCACTCCTCAGGGTCGCCGCGAACAACATCGAACACCCGCCGGCTAATCTTTTAGAGCGAATCCCCAAATCCAAATCCAAATCAGAATCAGAGGGAACAGAATGAATCCGATCAAATCGAAGAGGGAAGGGGGCGCAGCAAGAGAATGACCTTTGAAGCTAAAGGGAGAGCTCCTTGCCCTCGAGGGAGAGGACGAGGTCGGGGTTTTCCGCGAAGCGGGGCGGGGGCTCGCTCGGGCCCTCTCATGCGGGAGGTGGAGACTGGCTCTGCAGGCGCTTCCTGGACGCGCTGCGGGTACTGGAGGCAGCCGACGCCATGGCCATGGGACGCACCGCGGTCGGTCAAAGAAAAGAATCGGGTCTGCGGCGAAGAAAGAAGAAGGAAGAGAAGGGGAGGAGCCGAGGAGGACACGCGCTGCGGTCGGTTCCAGAAAAAGAATGGTGGGCCGACCGAAGAAACAACCCAAGCGCCAGGAGTGTGTGCGCCGGTTTGCTAAGGATGTGTTTGGTTCAAGGAAGATGCTAGGGTGGCTAGGGTATCCCTATCCAGCTGGTTAGGGATGGCCATTTTTTATGTTTGGTTGATGGATGAAGTTAGCCTATATTTTGTTTGATTGTAAAGGATAAAGCATGGTTAGGATAGCCACTGATTTCCTATTCATTTTCTCCTTTCGGCTGATGTAGGACAAAATTAATCAATGAACCAGTATTTTGGGGAGATTATCAAGTGAAACACATCAGTACACCATGCACACATATACACCACGCACACGCGAGAACGGCAAGCGCAGCCCACACGCCCGGCCGGCAGGCCGGCAACCAGGCCTGGCATACAACACGCGCAGCAGGCACGTCAGGCAAGCACGTCCAACGCGCAGCCGGCAGACACGCCCAATACGCAGCGCGTGCAGCACGCCCGACCTCCATCTGCAGGGCTCTGTCGCATGACACTCACCTGTCTGCCGCCGCCATGACCGCTGCTAGGTTGCAGCTCAGCAGCTCCAATGGAAGAAATGACAAAGGAAGGAGAGAAGGCACGGCAAGTAAGAAGATAGGGAAGAGGAGATCCATACCGCCGCGCACTGACCTCCGTCGCCGTGCTTCGATTTCTACGGCCGCCGCCGCCGCAGGAGAGAACAGAGCTGGACGAAAGCGGGGGTGTAGAGAAAAACGTTTTGTGGCTTGGTTCGCGTCACGCGCGCGCCGGGATACGCAGGTCCGCGAGATTTTCGCGGACGCGCTCAGCCTCATTTTCGAAGAATATTCCCAGCATCCGGCTAGTGCTGGCTAAAGATGACCACGGAGCCTTCCACCTCCGCGGCGACCTCCACCGCCGCCGCCTTAGCAGGCGACGCTAGTTGCACGGAGCCATGGAGCGCCAGGGTGCGCACCTTGGCACGCCTCGGCCGGCACTGGGAGGTCCTGGCCCTGCTCCGCGACGGCGACCCCTCGCCGTCGTCGCACGCCCTTGCGCTACCAGCCGCGGTCATCTCCTGCACGGCGCTATCCCTGGTCTCCGGCGTCGCCCAGATACAGGCACTCGGTTGCAAGCGCGGCCTGCTCCCTTCCTCCGACGCCTACCTCCTCTCCTCGCTGCTCTCCTCCTACTCCCGCCTCGGCCTCCTCCCGCGCGCCCACCAACTCCTCGACAAAATGCCCCTCGCGTCCACGCCTCCCACCACGCTCCGCACCGCCTTCAACTCCCTCATCTCCGGATGCGCGCTGCACGCGCTCCCGGCCGCCTGCTTCGCCCTCTTCCGCCGCATGCGGGCGGCGGGCGCCCCCTTCGACGCCGTCACGCTCATGACGCTGCTCCCTGCCGCTCCTCAGAGCGTCGTGCCACAGCTCCATGCCCTCGCTGGGAAAGCAGGGCTGGCCGCCGAGACAAACGTGGCCAACTGCCTCATATCAGTGTACGCGCGCCGGGCCGCTGGCCTTGCCCGGCAGGTGTTTGACGAGATGCCATTGACCTCCCGTGACATCGTCTCGTGGAACGCCGTGCTCTCAGCCCACGCGCAGAATGGCCTCGCAGTGGACGCCCTTGATCTCTACAGACGCATGTGTGGCCACGATGGCGGCAGCGTGGAGCCAGACGCCGTGACGCTCGTGAGCGTGCTCTCCTCATGTGCCCACCTTGGAGCGCGCGGTGTAGGCCTGGGTGTCGAACGCTACATGCAAGAGAGACTCCCAGGCTTCCGTGCCAACATGCAGCTCTGCAACTCTCTCATCAACTTCCATGCACGCTGCGGCAGCTTGACCCAGGCACAGCGGCTGTTCAACGAAATGCCCAGGAAGAGCATTGTGTCTTGGACGGCACTGATCACTGGGTACGGCATGCACGGGCATGGCGATGTTGCTGTAAATCTCTTCCAGGCGATGGTGTCAGAAGGCATCCGGCCAGATAATGTCGCGATGGTCGGCCTCTTGTCGGCGTGCAGCCATGCTGGAATGTATGATGACGGGCGCAAGTACTTCTCAGCAATGGAGAGTACATACTAATTGCGGCCTACACTGGAGCACTATACCTGCATGGTGGACCTCCTTGGACGGGCCGGCCGTCTCAAGGAGGCGCGAGAACTCATCTCCTCAATGCCCATGCCAGCCGACGGTGCAGTGTGGGGTGCCCTTCTTGGGGCGTGCAAGATACATAAGAATGTGGAGATAGGGGAGGAGGCTTTCGAGCATGTCATCAAGCTCGAACCGAGCAATGTCGGCTACTACGTGCTCATGGCAAACATATACACAGACACAGGACAACTGGAGGGTGTGGTGAGGGTACGGGCGATGATGAGGGAGCGCGGGCTCAAGAAGGAGCCTGGGTGCAGCTATGTCGAACACAAGGGGAGGGTTCATCTCTTCATGGCTGACGACCACTCACATCGGCAGGCAAAGAGGATTTACGAGCTCGTGATTAAGCTTGAACAAATGGTGACGGAGAAAACAGATGGCACTGTGGAAAATGGGCAAGGCAGAGTGGACGAGGGGTACTCTGGGAAGATGGCTGCGCCGTTGATCGGCTTTCACAGTGAGAAGCTCGCTGTGGCCTTCTGTATGCTGAACACTGATGACAGTGAGATTGTGGTGATCAAGAACCTAAGGATATGCGGGGACTGCCACTCTTTCCTGAAGGCGGTCTCTGCAATTGCCAACCGAGCATTTCTCGTCAGGGACGCGAGCCGCTTCCATCGCTTCGAAGGTGGAGCATGCTCCTGCAAAGACTACTGGTGAACAATTTGGTGCTGACTGTTAGGAGAAGGAAGATTTCACGGCTGACTGGTGAACAATTTCGTGGCTTGCTTCGCGTCACGCGCGCGCCGGGATACGCAGGTCCGCGAGATTTTCGCGGACGCGCTCAGCCTCATTTTCGAAGAATATTCCCAGCATCCGGCTAGTGCTGGCTAAAGATGACCACGGAGCCTTCCACCTCCGCGGCGACCTCCACCGCCGCCGCCTTAGCAGGCGACGCTAGTTGCACGGAGCCATGGAGCGCCAGGGTGCGCACCTTGGCACGCCTCGGCCGGCACCGGGAGGTCCTGGCCCTGCTCCGCGACGGCGACCCCTCACCGCCGCCGCACGCCCTTGCGCTACCAGCCGCGGTCATCTCCTGCACGGCGCTATCCCTGGTCTCCGGCGTCGCCCAGATACAGGCACTCGGTTGCAAGCGCGGCCTGCTCCCTTCCTCCGACGCCTACCTCCTCTCCTCGTTGCTCTCCTCCTGCTCCCGCCTCGGCCTCCTCCCGCGCGCCGACCAACTCCTCGACGAAATGCCCCTCGCGTCCACGCCTCCCACCACGCTCCGCACCGCCTTCAACTCCCTCATCTCCGGATGCACGCTGCACGCGATCCCGGCCGCCTGCTTCGCCCTCTTCCGCCGCATGCGGGCGCCCGGCGCCCCCTTCGACGCGGTCACGCTCATGACGCTGCTCCATGCCCTCGCGGGGAAAGCAGGGCTGGCGGCCGAGACAAACGTGGCCAACTGCCTCATATCAGTGTACGCACACCGCGGCGCTGGCCTTGCCCGGCAGGTGTTTGATGAGATGCCATTGACCTCCCGTGACATCGTCTCATGGAACGTCGTGCTCTCAGCCCACGCACAGAATGGCCTCGCCGTGGACGCCCTTGATCTCTACAGCCGCATGTGTGGCCACGATGGCGGCAGCGTGGAGCCAGACGCCGTGACGCTCGTGAGCGTGCTCTCCTCATGTGCCCACCTTGGAGCGCGCGGTGTAGGCCTGGGTGTCGAACGCTACATGCAAGAGAGACTCCCAGGCTTCCGTGCCAACATGCAGCTCTGCAACTCTCTCATCAACTTCCATGCATGCTGCGGCAGCTTGACCCAGGCACAGCGGCTGTTCAACGAAATGCCCAGGAAGAGCATTGTGTCTTGGACGGTACTGATCACTGGGTACGGCATGCACGGGCATGGTGATGTTGCTGTAAATCTCTTCCAGGCGATGGTGTCAGAAGGCATCCGGCAAGATAATGTCGCGATGGTCGGCCTCTTGTCGGCGTGCAGCCATGCTGGAATGTATGATGAGGGGCGCAAGTACTTCTCAGCAATGGAGAGTACATACCAATTGCGGCCTACACTGGAGCACTATACCTGCATGGTGGACCTCCTTGGACGGGCCGGCCGTCTCAAGGAGGCGCGAGAACTCATCTCCTCAATGCCCATGCCAGCTGACGGTGCAGTGTGGGGTGCCCTTCTTGGGGCGTGCAAGATACATAAGAATGTGGAGATAGGGGAGGAGGCTTTCGAGCATGTCATCAAGCTCGAACCGAGCAATGTCGGCTACTACATGCTCATGGCAAACATATACACAGACACAGGACAACTGGAGGGTGTGGTGAGGGTACGGGCGATGATGAGGGGCGCGGACTCAAGAAGGAGCCTGGGTGCAGCTATGTCGAACACAAGGGAAGAGTTCATTTATTCATGGCTGACGACCACTCACATCCATAGGCAAAAAGGTTTACGAGCTTGTGATTAAGCTTGAACAAATGATGAAGGAGAAAACAGATGGCACTACAGATATGGAGCGAGGCAAAGTGGACGAGGGGCACTCCAAGAAAATGGCTGCACCGTTGATCGGCTTTCACAGCGAGAAGCTCGCTGTGGCCTTTGGTATGTTGAACACTGATGACATTGAGATTGTGGTGATCAAGAACCTAAGGGTATTTGGAGATTGCCTCTCTTTCCTAAAGGCGGTCTTTGCAATTGCCAACCGGGCAATTCTCGCCAGGGACGCGAGCCGCTTCCATCGTTTCGAAGGTGGAGCATGCTCCTGCAAATACTATTTGTGAAGAATTTGGTGCTCATTGTTAGGAGAAGGAAGAATTCGCTCCAGATCTTCAGTGCTCACTGGAACAGGCGTGGTGACTATGCTTCCACTCCAGCTATGACAAAAGTGGAGGGTTGGATCAAGAGCAGGGCCTAATGGACTCGTTGTTAGGTTGACCAGTACTCTCAGATCGAACTGCTTAACTCCCTGAAGATCAGGCTCCCATTTGTTTTACAGAATCCGAGGTGCGGACCGATTCATGGATGGTTATCCTTGTGCTGGACAACCAATAGAACAAACATCAAACTTTCTCAAGGCTTGCATTCTACTCGTGATCAATTGGCATTGCCCCTCATGCAATTGCTTGTGGAAATGCAATGCTCCACCCACGCCCTTGGACCTTCTACAAAGGAATTACCTGGCCCTTGATATGTCTCCAACATATCTACTTTTCCAAACACTTTTGCCCTTGTTTTGGACTCTAACTTGCATGACTTGAATGAAACTAACCCGCACTGACGCTGTTTTCAGCAGAACTGCCATGGTGTTGTTTATTGTGCAGAAAATAAAAGTTCTCAGAATGACCTGAAAATCCACGGAGATAAATTTTGAAAAATATAAAAAATACTGACAAAAGATGAAGGCCAGGGGGCCCACACCCTGTCCACGAGGGTGGGGGCGCGCCCAGGGGGCGCGCCCCCCTGTCTCGTGGGCCCCCTGATGCTCCACCGACCTCAACTCCAACTCCATATATTCCGTTTCACGGAGAAAAAAATCAGAGAGGAAGTTTCATCGCGTTTTACAATATGGAGCCGCCGCCAAGCCCTAAAACCTCTCGGGGGGCTGATCTGGAGTCCGTTCGGGGCTCCAGAGAGGGGGATTCGTCGTCGTCATCATCATCAACCATCCTCCATCACCAATTTCATGATGCTCACCGTCGTGCGTGAGTAATTCCATCGTAGGCTTGCTGGACGGTGATGGGTTGGATGAGATTTACCATGTAATTAAGTTAGTTTTGTTAGGGTTTGATCCCTAGTATCCACTATGTTCTGAGATTGATGTTGCTATGACTTTGCTATGCTTAATGCTTGTCACTAGGGCCCGAGTGCCATGATTTCAGATCTGAACCTATTATGTTTTCATGAATATATGTGAGTTCTTGATCCTATCTTGTAAGTCTATAGTCACCTATTATGTGTTATGATCCGACAACCCCGAAGGGACAATAATCAGGATACTTCTCGGTGATGACCGTAGTTTGAGGAGTTCATGTATTCATTATGTGTTAATGCTTTGGTCCGGTACTCTATTAAAAGGAGGCCTTAATATCCCTTAGTTTCCACTAGGACCCCGCTGCCACAGGAGGGTAGGACAAAAGATGTCATGCAAGTTCTTTTCCATAAGCATTTATGACTATATCCGGAATACATGTCTACATTACATTGATGAACTGGAGCTAGTTCTATGTCACCCTATGTTATAACTATTACATGAGGAATCGCATCCGACATAATTATCCACCACTGATCCAATGCCTACAAACTTTTCACATATTGTGCTTCGCTTATTTACTTTTCCGTTGCTACTGTTACAATCACTACAATACTGCTATCTTTACTCTTGCCACTGTTACCATTACTATCATACTACTTTGCTACTAAATACTTTGCTGCAGATACTAAGTTATCCAGGTGTGGTTGAATTGACAACTCAATTGGTAATACTTGAGAATATTCTTTGGCTCCCCTTGTGTCGAATCAATAAATTTGGGTTGAATACTCTACCCTCGAAAGTTGTTGCGATCCCCTATACTTGTGGGTTATCAAGACTAATTTCTGGCGCCGTTGCCGGGAAGTATAGCTCTATTCTTTGAGTCACTTGGGATTTATATCTGCTGATCACTATGAAGAACTTGAAAGACGCAAGAACTAAGATTTTTCCCTCAACTACGAGGGGAGGTAAGGAACTGTCATCTAGCTCTACACTAGATTCTCCTTCTATTATGAGTAAGCTTGCGACACCTAAACCTGCTACTGCTATGAATTCTGATATGTCGCATGTTATTGATGATGCCACTCCTACTATGCATGATACTTATGATGAAACTACTTATATGCTTGATACTACTGTGCCATTAGGTGAATATCTTGATGAACAACTTGCTAGGGTTAGAGAGAATGAAATTACTGAGAATGAAATTATTGATGATAGTGATGATGAAGGTTCTCCCCCTAATTATGAATTGCCTGTTATTCCTGAGGGTTATGTTATGGATGAAGAAGCTGCTAGAGCTATTTTTGCTTACAATGATAGATATGATCTTAAGAAGTTATTAGCTAAATGGAAGCAGCAATCCCTTAATGCTAGAATGAAACCTGACCTTACTTTTGCTACTTCACCTATCTGTGTTACTGATAAGAATTATGAATTCTCTGTTGATCCTGAGATAATTACTTTAGTTGAATCTGATCCTTTTTATGGCAATGAAACTGAAACTGTTGTGGCACATCTTACCAAGTTGAATGATATAGCCACCCTGTTTACTAATGATGAGAAGTCTCGCTATTATTATATCCTTAAGATATTTCCGTTCTCATTAAAGGGTGATGCCAAAACTTGGTTTAATTCTCTTGATCTTGGTTGTGTGCGTAGTCCCCAAGATATGATTTATTACTTCTCTGCTAAATATTTCCCTCCTCATAAGAAACATGCTGCCTTGCGGGAAATATATAATTTTGTGCAAATCGAATAAGAGAGTCTTCCACAAGCTTGGGGGAGGCTTCTCCGATTACTTAATGCTTTGCCTGATCATCCTCTTAAGAAAAATGAAATACTTGATATCTTTTATAATGGACTAACCGATGCCTCCAAGGACTACTTGGATAGTTGTGCTGGTTGTGTTTTCAGGAAAAGAACCGTCGACCAAGCTGAATTGTTATTGAATAA